CAGTAAATGCATCTATATGAATTTATCTTTGAACTTTTTATTCAAATTGTATTTTGCGAGGATTTAGATAATTATGCATTCAGTTTCTTAATTTTGAGAGAATTGTCCACTCAAATTAACAATCAACAAACTGTGTTATGAAATATCACTCATTTGAAATAAAGGTTTAAATTATGCATTTATTCTCAATATTCTTTATTTTCTATCTCAGTACATTGTAGTAAATTAATTTTAAATATATTGCACTAAGAAAATAATTAGATGGAATAATCAGACTCTAACCACAAGCCAATTATAATATGAAAAACTATGATATTGTGATAGCATTCCCTAAACAGAAATGTGAAGTACTTTGTTCTTAATTAATTGGAGGCGTTTAACAAGCAATAGTGTCAAACCATTTATTGACATTCCAACTAATACTTACTAAAATATTGAGATTTATTATCACTATTATTAACAAGACACACCGTCTTGCTTGTATAATCACAAAATTATGCTCATAATTTGAACAGTAGATGCGAACACCGTGCAATTATCTAGTATTTATATCAAATTTAATATATACAAATAATATCTAGGTGGTCAACTTGGAGAATGATGAGACCACATTTATCACCCTTATTAATTTTCATAAAATATAGCGAATATTGTCATGAAATTTTTTCATGAAAGAAAACAAGCATCATATATAGGGCTGTTCGTGTTTATCAAGCATGGTTCTATTCATCCTTTCCTCTCCCCCATTTTGTTGGGGAGTGTAAGGAACCGTTTTATGTCTTGTTATTCTATTTTCCTTGCACATATTATCAAATTCAGTGTTGCAAAACTCTAGGCTATTATCGGTTCTCAAAAACTTGATTTTCTTACCAATTTGGTTTTCAACTTCTCTTTTCCAATTATCAAAGTTATGAAAAGTGTCGGACTTATCCTTTAAAAGATAAACCTACACTTTCCTAGTGTAGTCATTAATAATAGACAAGAAATATCTATTCCCACCTGAGGTGAGAGTGCTAGATGGATCCCACAAGTCCGAATACACATATTCAAGTATGCCTTTACTTTTATGAACACTCATGGAGAAAGTAATTTTATGATGTTTATCAAGCACACAATGGCCACAGAAAGACAAATCAGACACACAGTCATTTCCAAAAGCACATTTTTCATTAAGAAGCTTAATCCCCTTAATACCCACATGTGCAAGTCTATTGTGCCATTTGTGTGTATGATCAGACTTGGCAGAAGATATAGAGGAGTCTAAACCTCTCATCACTTCCCCAGTGGTTATATAAATATCATTTTTTCTAATACCCTTAATAGAGACAAGTGCACCTTTAATCAATTTCAAAATCCCATTTCCAATTTTACCAGTGAAATCAGATTTCTCAAGTCTTCCTACTGAAATTAAGTTTCTAGACAATTCAGGGATATATTTAACGTCTTTTAAAGTATGCACAAAACCAGTATCAAACTTCAACGTAATATCACCCATGCCAACAACATTGTAAGCAGAATTATCACACAACACAGCATGCCCATCATTTGATTCATACAAATTTTCAAACCAATCTTTATGTGATGTCACATGAAAAGATGCACCAGAATTAAGAATCGACTCATGAAAACGAGAATTGACAGTTAAGTTCAATTTAGCTAGAGAAACAACAGGATTTGTAATCATATAGACTTCACCATCACAATTACCAGAAACAGAAGACAACACATTCACCTCGTCTCTATCTCTATCCTTTTGCTTATTTTTCTATTTATAGCAATCTTTTATAAAATTCCCGGTGTTCCCACAGTCATAGCATTTCCTTTCCTTAATCCTAGATTTGGATCTAGGCTTACCCTTCCTTTTCCTTCTATGTCCATTACTACTAGACTCGCCATTACTTTGGTAATCATTATGACTGTTTTGCCTAAACTAAGTTCTGCCCCTCATCATGTGAATCTCACTGCTCTTCCTATCATGTTTTTCAGTCCTCATCTCCATCTCCTTACTTCTAAGGGAGTCAACGACAATTTCAGGCATCAATGTGTCCTTACCATACTTAATAGCATTTTTCACTTCACGATAAATATCAGGTATAGAATTCAGTAAGATAATAACTTTGTAGGTTTCAGGTACCGACTCTCCACAGTTAACAATATCTTGAACAAATTTGTTAAATACATCCAAATTGTCATCAAGTTCTTTTGAAAAATCCATTTAAAACTGAAAAAACATTCAAGTAAGTAGAGCTTGTTGGGAGTAGATTTAAGCAAATACAGATCTTCCAATTTTTGCCAAAGTTTTTTAGTGGTTTTCAGTTTTCCCACTTTTCTCAAAACTGCGTCAGACAAGTGTAAAATAATAGAGGTGTAAGCAAGCTCATCAACTTCTTCTTTTTGTTCTTTTGAAAAATCAAAGGGAAAATTGCCATCGATGGCTTTTGAAATTTTTTGTTGAACCAAAATACCTCGCATTTTCTGTTGCTAAATAGAAAAATCACATTTTCCAGTAAAAGTTCTCAAATCAAAATTGTACGTTGTCATTTTCAAACAAGAAACACAATCACAATTAAGCCACACAAAGCAGACCTAGGGACTTTATCAATGCAACCTGAGGAATAATCAACAAAACAGTTTCACTCACAATATATCACAAACGATAATATGCTGTAATTAATCAAAAAAGGCAAACACGTAGCAAAAGAAGAGCAATTAATTCCTAATTTCTAGCACAAGCAATGGTTACCTCACACGGTAACCCCAATCCTATTATCACCCCACACGATGACACGCTAGTGCTGAAATTAAAAGAGGATCATCCAATTTACCAGAGAGGACTTGTCCGAGTCCGTAATTTTCAAGAGTTGCGAATTTACTGCTTTAGGCCGCAATTTATGGCCTAAAGTAATTCAGTAAATATTTTTGCAGTTGCTACCTCGAATTTGTTTTAATCACCAGAGTCGCCCAAAATTTTATGCAAAACCTGAAACACTAAAATAAATATATCAGTACGTTCAGGAATTAAAGTTAAACAAACTGCCTGAAAAATTCTGGTCGGAAAGCCCTGCCACGGGCCTCGCCGGAGGACACGCGCACCACCACCAGGTGCACCTTGGCCTGCAGGGAGTGGGTCTGCCCTCAATTTTTTAATCCAGTTAACAGTTTGGTCGGAATTCTTAAAAACAGAGGTGAAATTTCGAGTAAAGACCGCGAGCTTCTTCTTCGCTTTCCTCGATTTCATCGGATTTCACGCAACCCAAGCGCTCTGATACCAAATGTGAGGATGAAGAACACTTTGTTGCACCAAGGAATACCGGGCTCAGTCTCTAATCGATACCACAACCACTAGAAGAAAACGATCCACACAAAACCTCCCTTCCAAATGGTTGCTCCAACCAATAGATAACCCACAAAGGCTAGGGGATGAGAAGAATGTAGCCAAGGAAATTAGACCACTAAGGCTAACAGAAATTCTCACATGGCAAGGCACAAAACCAGGCGTAGTCACAAAGCAGAGAAAACTTTCCTTTTCTAAATCTAGAAATAACGGCTATCAAAGATTCTCATATCTAGAATAGTAATGGACGGTAGTATATAATAGGCATAAGTGGGCTTTAGGTTAGAGGGCCCAATAAGAGGATAAGTAGTGGGCTAGCATCTTGATCCTCGGTAGGTTTAAACCCAAGGACTATGAGCAACCCTAATTCAATTAGGCTGCTCCAAATGGCCCAAGTCGGTCAAGTGGAAATTTCAAGTAGTTGTGGTATTGATATGCATTCAGTCAATTGGTCAAAGCCGACTGAAAAAGAGTAAGACTTACATCATTGCTCGAGGAGGTCGTTTGGCAACACTTTGCCTAACACAAGAAAATCTATCTAGTGTTTTTAGCTGTCCTTTTTTCTCTCGTACATGTTTGAATGAATAATTGGTCATATTATGAAAAACAGATTTAATTATTTTATTTCCAATTAATGGTCAAGTGATGATTTTTTTATTTTTTATTTTCCTTCCGGCTATTAGTACCAATTTCAGTGAGAGTGACCAATTAATTAAACTACCTGTGAACAGTCTAACTAATTTGCTTCATTTCTCGTGCCTTATAAGTAGGGTCGGCCCTGAAATTTTGAGTGCTCTGTACGACATTTTAAAATGATGCCCTTTCATATAATTAAAAAAAAGGCTTACAGGCACCAATAAAAAAAAAACTTAAAATGACGCCTCTTTCATGTAACAAAAAATTATCCTCTAGAACCAAAAATTTATAACAAAATTTTTTTTTGGTATCCCTACAATGTTGAGTCTCCATGCAATCGCACCACTTGTGCAGACCGCCTCTTCTTGTAATAATCTTAAATTTGCTTGTAATTTGAATAAAAAAAATTGCCAACGAAAAGCGGACATTCACTCCTCTCCTCCATCTCTGACTAGTAAGTGGTAAGTGATAATTGATTTTAATTATTAAACCATGCACTATGCATCTATATGTTTAATTACTTCAATTTTGTTAGTCATTCAATTTTGTTAGCACACAATGTAGATATAAAATCTGGAGATTTGTTGTTATAAGTATAGTTCTACAATTTTTTTCAGAAAAGGGCCCAAAGATAATTTTTCCAGATTTTTGCTCAAACTTTTACACTTATTTTTTTTTGTCAAATGGTGAGAAACATACCGGTTTTGTTATCGGTACATCAAGGTGTAAATAGACGTGTACATCACACTCACATGGGGGTGGGACCCGCTCGAATAAAAAAATATTTTATACACGTGGGTCCCACCCCCATGTGAGTGTGATGTACATCATTATGTACAATTCTTGATGTACAAATAGCATTTTTGTATTAATATTAGTAATCCTCATTTTTGCCGCCTCACTGATTTCTCTCTATATAACACTTGAAAACACAACCCACGTTCCCATAGTCCAAACATACTACTCTCTTTTGAACCTCCTTGTACAACTATACACCCTCTCTCGCGCTCTCTCTCTCTCTTTCTATCCCATGGCCAACGGGAAACCGGAGATGAATGACGTCTCCTCCGGCCAACCCCACGTACCTATTCCGGCTTTTGATCCTCCTCGGAAACCCAAAAGAAACAAGTATGCTTTGGCTTGTTCGTTCTTGGCTTCAATGACCTCCATCTTACTTGGTTACGGTAAGAATTTTTCCGTATATGCAAAGTGTAATGATATGTCGTGTCACTGTTGCTGAACATGGTCATTTTCAATAATATGTAGAGAATGATTAATCAGTTTTTTTATGAATACATGCATAAATTGAAGTTGCTTTTATGGATTTCGTGCAGATATTGGAGTGATGAGTGGAGCAATTATTTACATCAAGAAAGACCTCCAGATAACCGACGTCCAAAAGGAGGTCATAATGGGCATACTTAACGTCTATTCACTTCTTGGCTCAGCTGCCGCCGGCCGTACCTCAGATTGGATTGGCCGCCGGTATACCATAGTATTCGCCGGCGCAATTTTCTTCGTCGGAGCTCTCTTGATGGGTTTCGCCACCAACTATGCTTTCCTAATGGTAGGTAGGTTCGTGGCCGGCATAGGAGTTGGATATGCCCTTATGATTGCTCCGGTGTACACCGCCGAGGTTGCTCCGGCATCCTCCCGTGGCTTCCTCTCTTCTTTCCCGGAAGTTTTCATCAATTTTGGTATGTTTCATATTTTAATTATTTATGGGCTCTTCGAGTTTTACGTTAGGTTTTGTCTTTTCCATGTGCACAAATCTCCAGCACGAAAAGTAACATGATTGGTGCTGGAAAAATTCAGCAAAGTGACAAAGGAGCCAGGACATCCAAGTTTTTTTCAAAATTTTGTTTATGTTAATTCTACACGGCACAAATACAGATAAGAAAAAGTTTAAAACAATCAATAATCTTCCTTCTAATTGAATAATTCTTTCTGTATATAATTGACAGAAGAAAATAATATTTTTATTGCTAAATTAATATACTTTAGTTTTAAAAACATTGGACATGGGGTCCAGTTTTGTGCTACAACTTGTGTGCAAACATGGCTCTCATTTTCCTACCCATAACCTGTCCTAACACGACGAATAACTGATGCCATCCAGGCGTTAACTTAGGATGTCGGCAATTAATTTGTACTTCACAAAGAAAATTATTATATAATTATTGAATTGATAATTAGTTTTTTTTTTTTGATAGGTATATTACTTGGATATGTATCGAATTATGCATTTTCAAAGCTTCCAACTCACTTGAGCTGGCGATTCATGCTCGGAATTGGTGCAATCCCGTCGATATTCTTAGCCATAGGTGTTTTAGCGATGCCCGAGTCCCCACGTTGGCTCGTCATGCAAGGTCGACTCGGCGATGCAAAAGTAGTTTTGGACAAAACCTCTGACTCACTTGAGGAATCAAAATTAAGATTGGCTGATATCAAAGAAGCTGCTGGAATTCCTGAAGAGTGTAATGACGATGTTGTGAGTGTCACCAAAAAAAACCATGGCGAGGGGGTTTGGCGGGATCTAATCCTCCACCCAACACCAGCAGTTCGCCACGTTTTGATTTGCGCTGTTGGGATCCACTTCTTTCAGCAATCGAGTGGCATAGACTCCGTTGTTCTGTACAGTCCAGAGATATTTGAAAAGGCAGGAATAAGTAATGACACGGATAAACTACTCGCTACAATGGCAGTTGGATTCACCAAAACAATATTTATTCTAGTGGCTACATTTTTGTTAGACAAGATCGGACGGCGGCCGTTGCTCCTATCTAGTGTCGCTGGGATGATTTTATCTTTAGTGGGCCTGGCAATTGGGCTGACCCTTATTACTCATTCTGACCACAAACTTGTTTGGGCCGTAGCTTTGAGTATTGCCTCAATTTTGTCTTATGTGGCCTTTTTTTCAATTGGGATGGGCCCAATCACATGGGTCTACAGTTCCGAAATATTTCCATTGAGGCTGAGGGCCCAAGGGTGCAGTATGGCCGTCGCAGCGAATAGGGTCACTAGCGGTGTGATTTCAATGACATTTATATCCTTATACAAGGCCATATCCATTGGTGGGGCATTCTTTTTGTATGCCGGGATTGCTGCGGTTGCTTGGGTATTTTTCTACACTTTATACCCCGAGACTCAAGGAAAAACACTCGAGGAAATGGAGGCATCGTTTGGCACTTTCTTCAAGTGGAGATCTACGTTGAGAGAATTGAAGAAGAAAAAGGTCGAGAATGGTGGTACCAAAGGCCAAGTCCAAATGGGGACTACTCGTTAGAGTTAAACTCGAGGGTACTAATGTAAATTACTTGTCTAAGCAAGGGTTTTTATGTCAATTTGAAGTTTTTAGTAGAATGAGTGTGTGGTGCTTGGAGAAGATGGGGATGGTGGCAAGTAATAGACAATATGTAATGGAATCTTGAAATAGAAACGACAACAAATGATAAAAGACAAATTAATATAAAAAGTGTCTTTTTTTTCTAGGTCAATCATTAATATATTAACATTGCAGTTTTTATTTATTGCACCATATTTTAATTACAATAAATCATTAAACGAACATAGCTCGTTTTGTTGAAAACGATATGATATCAGGTCGTTCTGATCCCAATTTTTGGAAGAAAATACGAGGTTATAGATACAATTTGAAGTAATTGATCACAAAAGCAGAAAAATAATATAATTTGTAGAATAAATGAGATTTTTACAAATAATGTCTAACTTGTAATGAGGTTAACACAATATATTCAACTTATAGAGAAGAATCAAATATATATAGAAAATAAATAGGAGACGTCTATAACACTAATCTTGGAGTCGTAGAAGGAAAAAGATGCTGAAAACGCCAAAACGGAATTGGGTCTCGATAACAACGATGTTGAAGCTTCGGCAAGCAGCTAGCTCACATCGTACCACTTGAGAGCAGCAAGCGAGCAATTAGCTCGCAACAGCTGTAGCGCTGGGCATCGGTCGACAAATTTCGGGAAAAACTTGTTTCTTATTTATATTTTGATTTCTTCAAATCCAACACAAATTCCAAAAATTTCCTTGTTTATATTTTAATCTCTTCAAATCTAACACAAATTCCAAAATCTCAATTTGGGCCTTCAAATAGAATTTCAATTAGAAGTTATTGAATATATTTTGAATAGGATTCCAAAATGCCATTCCAAATTGAATTCTTCTCAAGTCAATTTTAATTAGAATTCTCAATTATTTTTCAAATAGAATTCCGATCACGACATAGTTTTAACATGTTTCTTCCTTCATTTTCATCCCCGTTCTATCTTTGGGAGTTTTGACAATTTAATCTCACTTCCATAGTCACTTCAAAACATTCTTCCTCTTCTTCTCTCTCTCTCTCTCTCTTTTTTTTTTTGGTCATTGTGCTTCCCCTTCGAGGATTAGCCCTAAAACAACAAAGATTTTTGAAGATCAATGAAATCAAATTTGATGTACGAACAAAATGCCTCGTAATCAAATAAAGATAAGTGTAAGGATAAGATCCAAATGCAACTATTAATCTATTTAAATAAATATAAAATATATTTAATAAGATAAATTAAGTAAAGCTAGAAAATAATGACGAACAATTTATGTTCCGTCTTCATTAATATTTTTATTAAATGTCTAATCGTAATGTATATGTGCTCTAAGATTCTTTTTTATTGACTTGTCTAATTTGCTAAAATAATTTACTTTAATTCATGGGGTTAAAATTGCATAGGTGTATATTATATGTTGTTGATGCAATGTCAAATTCTTTTGCTCGATAACTCTTACGCATAATTTTATGGATATTTAATGTGGTACACAAGAGAGGTAGATTATAAAGGATGAGTCGCATCATTGACGGTCCCCACCTGCCTTGTCCTAGACCTTGAGGAATGAGGTAAATTACAGGTTATGCCTCCAAGAGTACAGGATGGAAGGCTACTTATACACTTGCACTTACTCAAGGGCCAAATCCATATTTCAGGATTCGAACCCTTGACGCGATAATCTCAAACAAAGCTGGAGATGTAGATTATATCTCCAATAACACTTTGTGCAAGACATGTACTAGTTAGCATCCGCTCAGGGAGTTACAAGGAGGTGACAAAACAACTGCTCCGAGCTCGCAAGCAAAACATGAAAGTCACACATTCTCAACAAGAAGGGTTGAAAAAAAACCATGTAGGACAAAAATGGGAGAAATCATCGGAATAAGACGATGGGAGAACTAATGATGCACTGAATGGGGCTTGCCTCCTCACTTGCACCACCACTATCGTCGTGGGTCAATCACAGCCTTTAACAAGATAGCCTAGGGTCGGAGATCAATCCTATGACATAATTTCTGCTTTAGGCTGCCCTCCCCAACCAAATAAAGCAACCAGTCCGCCTAATTTTTACGCATCCTAAATGAAGATTATTGTAGCTTGAAATGATTAAGACTGTTAGTGAGGAGGCCTTATCTATAAAAAATGGTTATTTTCCCTCCCGAAAGGGACATGAAAAAAATAAGAAAAATCAGGGNTTTATTCCGAGAGAAAAAAAAAAAGTTGTCAAAATTTAACATACAAGGCCTGTTTGTTTTTTATTCTCAAATTATACAGTAAATCAATTCTCATTTTCAACCACACATTTTTCAATAAAATAATATTTTTCTTCTTTTTTAACCACACATTTCCCATCATATCACTATTCAAAAATCAATTCTTCTCCCAAAAATTCTTACCAAACACACTCTCAGTATTCCAATATAGTGAATCCTTATTGATGGTACTTCGAGCTCACTAAATATAGTAAAAATCACTTTGTACTCATGAAAAATCTTTGAATTGATTAAACATCAATGTCTTACATTAATTATCCCAAATAATTGTACATATAAAAGTTCACTTGTAAAGCACGTTGTGCAATTTTATAATTAGCTTGAGCGAGCAATGCTCTCATTTGTTTCTCGCTCGAGTGACCATGCTTGCGTGATAGCTCAAGTACTCTTTTTCCCTAGCCCCCTAAGGATGAAGAACTCAGATAGGATTAGGGCTGTCCGTGAGACGGTTCGATTCGGTTCTGAAGAGGCTCAAACCGACCCAAAACTTTTGAGTATTTAATAAATGGACCCGTCGGTTCCAAATATAATTATGGAACAGTTCGGGTTCGGTTCCGTTCGGTTCGTGTCCGTTCGGTTCCGTACCATAATTAAATTTTTTAATATTTACAGCAACACTACATAAATACAATTAATGACATTTCATTCGTAATTTTTACAAGTTAACGTAACCCAATTCAAAAACATATAAATAACTAGCCGTCCAATAAGATTAATTCAATGCATACAAATACCAAAAAATAGATATTAATATTACAGCAACACTACATAAAATATATTCATTTGTTTCAAATTAAAATGGGTTAATAGGTTTTAAAAATGATTTGGGTTTTAAAATTAAAATTATAAAATAATCTGATTTATTTAATTAATTTGCTAATTTGTTTAGAAAAAAATAAAATAATTTCATTAATTCAATATAAAAAATAAAAAAATTATTTAGTTTCGATTCTTATTCAGTTCTTCGGTTCTTGGTCTAAACCCAAGACCTGACCCAAATCCATCAGTTCTCGATTCGGGTATCCGTTCGGGTATTTAATTTATGAAGAACCGCTCGGTTCGGTTCGGTTCTGTTCGGGTCGGGTCGGGTCGGGTTCGGTTCGGGACTTTTGGACACCCCTAGATAGGATCACTACACCCGTACCTTGTTTCCTTATGAAATAATGGGGCGTTGAGCTACTAAGCTCAAGAAGAGAAAAGTTACGCCCTTACTCCATTCCTTCATCAGATTTTTAGGGTCGGGAACTCTTCAATATTTTGAACTTTTGTATTGAAAAAAGTACAAATTTTAATGAAGATTTACATACTTTGATGCATGTGTTGCAAAAATCTATATGAAGTTGATTCTTTGGAGGATTATAACTAATCATGA